AGCCCCCAACCAGCAGTACACAGCGCATTGCCTCGCATGATGCGCAACAGCTGCAAAAACTGCCGCTGTTCCCAAGGGCACAGGCCGGCGGCGATTGCACCTATAGCAATCGCAACAGAACTGCGCACCTGCTGGTTGGTTTTTTCAGCAAAGTCTTTGAGAATCTCAAAAGCACGCCCGATTTGCACCTTGCATGCATAATCTACTGCAAGGGCACACATGGCAATCGCAGCAAAATCACAATAATCCCGGTCAGTATGCAGAGCTAGGGCTTGCAGAAACTTAGCCGCCCTCTGCAAAGACCCATCAGCAAGGCCTGCTGCTGCGGTGCCCATAGCAATCGCGGCAGAATCACGCAGAGCAATGTCGGTGCACTTAACAAAGTCTACAAGTGCAAAGGCCTCAAGAACGCTCTTTACCTTGGACGGGTCACTACTACAGAATACAGCCTTCATTTGCAGCGCAGCAAGAGCAAAATGTGCAAGGCCAGCGCTGTTGTTGACAGCGTCTTTTAATCATGGTCCTGAGCAAGGTCTTGCAGAAGATCAAATGCTTCTTGCCGCTGCAACGCGGAGAGGCGTGCTGCAAGAGCGGCCACAACGTTTGCAGCAAAACAACGTGCGCCCCAGGCAGTATGCTGAGCAAAGGCTGACACAAGTGTAATGATCTGTCTTTGCTGCGACTTGGACAGGGACACTGCCAGAGCAGAAGCAGCTCTCGAGATGAAATCGTGATTATGCAAGCTAAGTTCCTCGGCAGGCCCTTGCAAGAGCTCACGAACCTGCCACCCTCGGGGCTCTGAAAGCTGTGCTGCGAATGCACCCATAGCACTGGCAGCAGCATTTCGCACACGATGGTCGGTATCCTTGGCAAGGCCTCGCAGACTTTCAAGGGCCTGTCGCCACTGAGGCTCAGGAAGGACTGCTGCGACAGCACCCAAGGTGCTTGCAGCAAACTGACGACGGCCCGTCCCAAATCCCAGTGCATGTGCCTGTAGAATCTTACAGGCCTGCACCAGTTGCGATGTGGAGAGGTGACCGTGCAGTATGTCAATTCTGCGCCGAAATGTTTCAAAGAGCTTTGTACGTCGCAGCTGCCATATGAGAAGTTCGGCCCGCCACTTGTGGACCTCCTCGTGTGGAGGCTCCTCTGTCAAGAACAATGCTGTTGCCATCGCCTCAGCACTTGTTGTGTCGTCGCTGTCCATGAAGCCGCGCCAAAGTCGCTGGAGTGACCAAGGCTCCCTTCTCATTTGATACAGCAAGACAGCACATCGGCAGCAGACATCCGCCTGCGTGGCAAACCAATGCATGCAGGAGAGGGTCACCGGATTCTCCAGCGCCCAATCGAAGCGTGCCTGAGGTTCATTTGAGACGGTGTTCAACTGAAGGAATCACAAGGGGTGAATGGATCAGGAAACGGGTGCATGCATGCGCGCCTCAGCGCTGTCAGCACAGAATGCAAGGCTTGGCGTTGCTGTGTTCCCGGGCTGATTGGGCAACACCTGCGTGAGCCTTAGCATGAAAGCAGCGCTGACATGTCAAGAAGGCACCACCGAAGCTCATCATTTCGCGTCAGATCGGCGCCAAATATTTTTTTGCAACTTGGGCTGCGGCCAGAAGTCAGAGAGCTCGGCCGCGTTCGGGACAACGCTGTAGAAGCCAGGTGTTGGCACGTGTTGCCACACCACGTCATGCAAGCATCCAAGGATGGGGCCAAGTGCGTCCCAATGAGAGCGAGCCCGGTCCGCTGGTTCGAGCTCGAGGACCATGTATGCGTATACAAGCGTTGCCCTGGACATGACGTCACATGCACGAAATGTCAACATCTGGCTATCCATCCTCTGGATGTGTTGCCGTCAGAATGCTTTCCCGGAGGCAATATGGCTGTGAGGCTATAATTCAAAGCAATTCAAAGCTACAGGCCCGTAGCGATACTACAGAATGGTAACTCGTCAATGATTGCCCTGCCAGCCTTCTCAAGCCGGCGAGCCATGACACGTAGGTGTCTGATCCGGCTTTGCACAGATGTACCTCAAAATGTGCGTGCTGGCACGTGGCCACGGGATAGGGGGAGATTTCGGCGTGTCGCCTATGTCTGGGATGTCGGGTTTGGCCGCATGCTTGAGATTTTGCAGCCCAAAGGCCCTGCGCATACTACTTCAAATCAATTACCTGGGGGTACTTAAAGGTGTGTCCATGGATTTTGTTCTCTGTGAGAGCACACGATGAGCCTGCTCTCACTGCGGCCACTCTCACCAGGCTTGGCAGCATTGCACAAGGCAGCCAAGGTTCCCGAAGAGGTGTCGCTGGCGTCCCCATGCCAGGCAGTCCACGTGTCATCCACGACATCGGAATACACATCAACCGCGTGCTTCAGGTGCTGGTACACTCTCTCCTGGCACCGCTGATGCATCATACTATCTTCCACTTCAGGCGCAGCATGCCCTACAGATTTGCTGCTCATCTAGCATGTAAAAGCGTTTCATTGCATGAAAGAACATTCAAGCCAACCATCAAAGCTGTCCTAATTGCAAGGTTGATAGGCTGAACACCCTCTCCTTGTTAGCTGGCATCAGCAGCTCCACGCCCAAGTCCTCATGCGTCTTCTCAATGGCTGCGCTGACTGCAGCATCTGCAGAAAGCGCAGGAAGGACTGAAATCTCATCCTCACTCACGTGCACGGTGTCCCCCCCACGCGTGCACCTGAGTAGGCGCCCTTCTGGTCCTTGCACCACTCCCTGGACTTGCACCTCCCTACCACAATACATCACCATCGACTCTGGCGGCTGAGGCCAGGGGATGGCTGGAAGACGGGGCAGAAGTGCCTGAGTTGCCCACAAACAAATCACATATTGGGCAGGAGTGCGCTTCTATGAAGAAGCAAAGCCCAATGGACGGACGAGATGCCATCGCAGCATCTCTCAGGGTCGTATGTGTCTGATCCCCCTCTCCGCGAATCCAAACACAAGCTCCGCGATGGTTCTCTGGGATTCTCTTCCCCAAGGCTTGGATGATGGAGCGTCACCATATTCCCAGAACAATCCGGTGAATCCCTTGAATTGGTCAGCAAATGCCCAGGCGATGTTTCGTGAGGCCATGACTGGCTGAGGAAGACCCAAATTAGACACACGATTTTGCTAGCACTGTCTGGATGAGCTTCGCGTGTGCCTTAGGCTTCCTGAAGTGTCATTCTCCAACTTAATGTGTTGCTTCTTTCCGTGTACTTCATATTGGTGTTCGCCCAGGGCACTGGATGCTGGCTTGAAGGATTAAGAAAGGCGGCCATGTACGTCAGCTTGTCAGGCTGCACTTCAGGCACGTACATGTTACTTGCCTTGCCACACCGCTCGCTTCATAGCAGGCGTGGGCAAGAATTAGGTTGCGACTTGTTTCAAATGTCCAGAGATAAGGCAAGCGGAGTACTGCTAGAGCGAGACCGGCTTGACGGCAGTTTCGAGCCTGCAGCGGAGCCTTCTCGGTCCAGAGAAGCCTGTCGCGAGGGTTCAAAAGAGCTCATGTCCTCCGTGCCTTGCCCTGAACCTTGAAACCTGGAACCTGACCGCAAGCTCCCAAACACGGCCAGAAATGCCAAGCTTGGATTCCAGAAGCATGGCCAGGAATGGAAACCTGCTCACCTTGAAAAGCTGCCTACCACCGGACAGTCACAGGTCGGGCATGGTTGTTGTTACAGAGCAACCTTTTAAACACATGTTGCTACAGGTGCTGCGGATGTACAGACAATGAAAAGTATCAATTGTACATTTTTCAAAGGATTGGACGAGCAGGAGCCAACCAAATAGATGCAGCGGACTTTTGCAACCGACTGACGGAACAGGGAGGATCAGGAAGTTGTCCTTTGTACCCTTAGCGTTTGTACCCTTGGGCCCGGGTCCTAAACCATGGAGTATGGCCCTTAATACGGGTATTTGGGCCCCCAAACCTAGGATCTCAAACATTTAGGGTACGAACTAGTACAAACTCAAAGTCGAGAGGAGGAATCAAGCATGTGCATAATTATGTAGTGGTCTAACCTCAGCTTACAGGTCCCCACATAGCAGGTGGAAAATGGAAGCCCTGAACGGGATCCACCCTCTAACCCCCTGGCCCAAACCCGGAACTTACCCTATGCATCCCTACACATCGCACCCCCCTGTCGTGCAGCTCAAGCCCAGGCAGTCTTTGCCGCGAGGGCAACGAAACAGAGCCGCCGTGAGAGTGCCGAGATGAAGGGGTACGAGTCTGCACACCACCCCCCCACCCCCAGATGGGATGTTCCAATGGGAATTGATATATCCATCCTAACTGGTGGTTCGTTCATTAAACGGACATGTCATGGCTCCCCAGGAGTCTTTTAATTCTTGTGGGGGTGCTGCTCAGAGGGGTGGTGCAGGGACGGAACGAAAGAGCAAGAGATCTGCAGTGACCACTGCAACCACTGCAGGAGCATGTCTGCAAGATGTAGTCCACTGGCGCTTAAGGCTTCATTCCAAACGGGTTTCCGCGAGTATTGAAGCAACCATTGGAACTTTTACCGTAGCAACAGGGCACTAATCTCGCGTGCGCTGCTACGAGGAGCTTCTTATCTGTGTCAACCGCTATCATGTTGTCTTTAACTCCCCAAAGATGCCACCTCGAGGGCACACCAAAAGAGCCCGTAACACTAGAAGGACACGGAGAATCCTGCTGAAATGGGTTCTCCTCCTCAACAATAACTTATCCGTCTAGTCGTTTTCTGACTTTCTGAATGCCACCTTCTTCACGCCTCCATTTGAATCGAGACGCGTGCCTTAGCGCAAGCCTTCTCGCAGTAAAGAGGCCCTAGCCATAGCATATAAAACCTTTTCTCCCCCCATTAGTGCGTAAGATCCATCAAAAAGGACTCATACCCCAAGAGCTCCCACACTGATCCTTTGGGGAAAGGCCATCTCAAAACAACCTGATGATTTAATATGCCTGGTTACATGGTAGGGGCAGTATCCGCACTGCTGGAAACCACGCTCAGAGAATAAGCTGCCAGAGCTCCCAGGTCAGCAAGATGATGGCTGCTTGGTGGATCCAGGCAAAGGGCGCCTTGCCACCTGAGTAGAACTTCTTGGTTGTCAAGCCAAGTAGGGTTGTGTTATTCCTCATCTTGCTACACTCAAGTAAACGACATACTCGCTCTATGTTGGGGGCCATAGTCTGACCCCACAAAATACTACTCACTTGTTTGCGCAAGGAGTCGGCATGTTGCCCAATGATTTACACGGCTTTCTTGGCATGAGATCAAGTTCGGAAGGATGGAGTTCTGAGAGCACAACGGGATCAGCCTTGATAGGGAACTTCATATCAGTCAAGAGTCAAGATTGGGCATGGCCAGCAACAATGCCGGCAAGCAGGGGATCAGTGAGCAGAAAACCCGAAAGCATTCAGAATTTCTGCCCGTATGCAGCAGCACTGTTTCCTCAATCTGGTTCCAGCATAAATGTGAAATCTTATTAAGGAATAATGAGTCTGAAGCAACCGTGCTCTCTGTGTCGTATCCTCCAGAGTTGGACTCGTGCTTGTGTCACAAGCTTCATCGGGGAATATGGCTAGTTTCCAACATGATGGCTCATTCTGCTGCCCCCCAAAATCAATGTATGGTGCTATTGAGACCTTGCCACTGAGGCTATCACACGAGGGGCACACAATTTGGGAACAACACACTCAAGGTTTTATGAATGTATCTTTTGGGACGTGGTGCGCCTTTGACACCTGCTTCCTGCAAGCAACAGATGCCCCGATGATGTAGCTTCCTGTTTTACGACCTGCCACCCTGATGCGTGATTCAGCGGGCAGCTTCTACTTGTTGTTTTTGCAGCAAGGGCGCAACTGGAATCTCCAAGCTTTGTGCAGGGATTTGGCCTTGCAAAAAAGGCAAGAACAACCCAACTGATATCCTCCAACCAAAGCCTCAAACATACACCGGAAGAGCCAAACGGAACTGCAAGGGCCCGAGAAAGATCCCCTCCTACAGCCATGTACATTCGGGATGCCGTGGTGACACTGCGAGAGAAGAGACCTGATGAAAGATCCTGTGCCTACTCCCTTGAAGAAACTCGTAGCGCCGCGGCTCTTGTGAGGCCCTGGCCTAGCTTGGTGAGCATCTGCAAGCTGAAAACAGCAGCCTCGCAGCTGCCCGGAGCTCTCTAGGGTTCAAGGTAAGATGTGGCAACTAGGGAGGCACTTGCGGCGATGGCAGCAAAGCAGCAGCATTAGCAACAGTAGTCGTAGAAGCAGGAGCAGCAGCGGTGAAAAAAGAGGTCGTATCGTGTGTCAAGTGAAAAGTACAAACTCTACTCTTGCGCTTGGGCAGGTGGCCAGCAACAGCGAGACGCCCTGGAGGAAGGCGACCACGTCGGGAGACGCGGAGAGGCTCGGCAGGGACTCCTCCGGGGGTAGGAGGTTGGTATCCTTGCTTTCTTCATCCATACTTCTCCAAGTCCCAGACTGCAACCAACCTTTCTCTCTATGGCAGAGCCACCATGAATTCCCTGGACGGCATTGACCCACACCAAGTCGTACCAAGCTAAGAAGATCCCTAAAAGGGAGCATAACTTCAAGAAGCTCTCAACCCATAAACCCCATCAAACAGGCTTCCTGCATCATCGCATACTCCCCCCCTCTCCAGTGCTCAAAGGACTCAGAGGCCGAGTTTTCCGGCTTGCTCCGAATGAGCTGAGACTTACAAAACAAGGAAGGCATATCACTTACTATGTATCTATGTTCTTATCACTGAATCTTTGTTCCCAAACAGCAACCAGATTTGTTCAGCAAATGAACCATTGTCTAAACTCCTNNGTTTAGACTATGGCTCACATGCTTGCTCTCCTCCAGAGCCTTCAGCTGCTCTTGCGCGAAGGCCGAGCCTGGAACTCCAGGTGCCCACTGGGCCATGGCTGCTGCAAAGTAACCTGGCGAAGAATCCCCTCCCTTACTTGCGCATCCCCGCCAGAATACTTATACAGACATACACACAGACATACATACATACACACACACACACAAGGGGCAGCGGATGCATGACAGCGTGGCAGCCATCTGTAACGTCCAAACAGCCCAGATGGGGAAGCCCGTCGTCGTCCCTTGGATCCTGGAACACTGCCACCGCCGACACCACCCAAAACAGTATCCATGCAGAGTGCTCCTACAAAAAAGTACCCCAGGCTTCGGGTACCCAAAGCCATTCAGATTGCAGTTGAACCCTGGCAGTAGTGATGCTGAAGCCTAGATTTGGTGCCCAGCAGCCGGCGGTCCGGGCAGCTGTTGGCAGCACCTGCCCTGCATCCACCAAGCCCAACTTCCTTGCTTGGATTAGGCCTCTCTTTACTATGGCTGTAAGCGTTGTTCTGGCAATCATGCGGGGGCCTACGGCGGGGGCTACTATGGGGATCCATTTCGGATTTCCCAACTATGCATGGACGAGCTTTGGGAAGTGCGTATACAAGTCGGTCATTAGAAGCTTCTACCTTCTTCACTTTCCGCGGATACGTTGATATGCAGGTTCTATCATCATGAACCATGGAGAAAACCCTTCCTCAATCTTGGAGCCCAGACGCAAGTAGTGCGCGAGGGAGGCCAGCCAGGTCAGGGGCAAGTAGCTGTAGCCCAAGTCCACGAAGTCATTCCTCAGATCTTGAAGTGAGGGAAGGCGTTGCAAGAGAGAAGTGTAGCATGAACCTTATGGGGACAAGGCCGTCATAAGCCCCGAGTACCTGTCTCCAACTAAGCCTACTGCCTCACGAGCTTCTTTTGCGGAGGGCATTCCTCAATTGACCTCTTGAGCAGTGTTAGCAGCATTGGCACATCAACCAGCTTTGTTTGTAGCAGAACCCCTAGCCTAACCCAACTCTCTACGGACCCCAAACCCAAGGGTTCCTGGGCTGTACCGGTGCTGTCGTACCCCAACAAGGTTTCCCCCAATACGGTCCCAATATAGCCCTTATATGCACCAATGTGGTCCTCTAGGGTTCCGTTAAGTAGAGGGTTCCAAAGCTCAAGGGTACAAGGCTAGGGGTACAATTCCGAAACCCTTGGAGAACCTAAAGATCTGTAAACCTATAGCTCTGGAGCACTGAAACAGCCCCAGGATCAGCGCAACCTGATCCGGATAGAGCAGCGAACTCAATCCCCGGGCCAACCGGTCCATGAGCCACACGAAAATACCTTCGTTCAGGAGCTCTTGAGTTGTTTGGCGATACAAGAATGCAGCTCGCTCAGAAAACTTGTGACTTCCCCTTATTATTGGGGTTCAGGCATCACATGCAGCAGTCTCCAAAGCTTGGCAAAGCGAGTATCACCTCTGCTTGCCTCTTGACATCGTGGTCACGATGCTACGCGTCTCGGGAGTTGACGGCAGTTTTGTAGCAGAAGAAATCAAGTGCTCCCATGGTCTGCTCCAAATCCGTCTAGACCCTAGTATTGAAGTACCGTTGTAATTGATCCTGCAGCAGGCTTGAATGGGTCTTACCATCGTCTGCTTTGTGGCCACGATTTTGTCGCATGATGACAAAGCCAATCTTTGCAAAAGGAAGCCAGGCCATGAATATGGTTCGCATCTGCAAGACTAGGCTTGGAATCCGAGGTGCCGGGTGCTAGCAGTGCTGCCACTGCCATCCCAGAATGCACTGCAAAATCCTCCAGCAGATTTGGCGGCGCGCCGGTCTGAACGACCAGGTCCTGCTTCCACCCGTCACCCTCACAAACAGGAAGGGTCCAGAAGCAAGCTTGTGCAGAAGCATCCTCTCCCACCCCATCCCAAGCAAAACTTTCTGAACTTTTATGCAAGGATTGTCGCTGAAGGGGAGGTGTGTCGGATAAGCCCAAATCAGGGGAGGCGAGCTGAGGTCTGCGAGCTTAGTTGGCAGCACCTCATTTGTTCAAGAGCAAGAAGCGACGTCCGAGGCAAATGAAAAGCAGTTGGCGCATAAGTTTTGTGCCTGGCAGACTGCCATCCCTCATCTTGAACGCAAAGTAGCTAACAGGAACTCCAAAAAAGGAACTCTGATTTTACAAGAGTCCTAGGTACAACCATGCTCAAACAGTTCCCGTTCAGTACTCTCAGAAGCCTGTGGGCAATGTCTTATATCCAGCGGTTCACGGTCCTGAAGATGGTGGCAGAAAACAGCACCCAACAGAAGGAACAGCAGCGCAAGCTCTGGTAAACTCGGCTCATGCTGCGATGCTGCACGGGTGCCTGGGGCTGGCAAAGATTACCTGGACCCACAGCAATGAAAGTAGGTGAAATAATGGCCTTTGGCCATTTTTCATGGGTTCTGGACCATTCTTTGACGTACTTCTCGACCCTCCTGCGGTTGCAGGATTGATCTTCAAGGCTACAGAAGTTTGGTTTAGGACTTGTTTGGATTTGGGGTTTACAGCTGGCTTGGGTTTCGCGCTGGGGGAAGGTTCCAAAGTCAATGCTTCGAAAACACATAAAAACGCAAAGATGTACTCCAGGCTGATCGAGCTGCCAGGGATTGGGAACAAGAAAGGGAAACCTCAGCCGCAACATTGCACGTGAGTCTTAGCCAAGCGAGTAATTCAAAATCGAAACCGATCAAGACAGGTTGCTGTATACAGCCCAAACCCCCTGCACCCTCATCCCTCAAACGAGGCAGCTCCGGAGGATGCCGCCCGAAACGGCTATGATGTAAACACTCTTGGAGATAATGAAGGCTGAAGCCCTAAACTTCAGATCCTAACCTTTCAACTTAGAGTCTCAAGTGAGGCACACATGTAGCCCAGTATCCCCAAACCCTGATACATCAAATCCAAACCCACAGGCCTGTGACAGCAGAAAAGTCTTCAGGAAGTTCCGATTCTAAGTAAGTAGGAGAAGAAGAGACTGCTCCAGCCCTGTGACTCTCAAACACACCTGAACCACTCTGGCGCCTAAAGAAGCCAGTTGATTATCTGTACATAAGGCACACATGAGCTGCAGTCAACACTTCCCATATACTGATGCGTTGGGGAACATACTAGCGGTCATACTCTCAGGTAACAAAGGGGACACCTATGTCCACTCGCAATGGTCCCTTAGCAACCCTCATATTGACAGTGGCTCATATGATCCCTATGAACCACCACATCATCTCAGTTTCCATGTCATTGTCCATTTTTCGTTTGATTCTCGATGATTCCTATATACCCCCTATATAACCCCTTTGAGGGGACAGCGGCTCACATCCTAGAGAAGCAAGGTGGAAGCTAAGGAGGAAGCCAAAGTCCAAGCCCGGAGCTCTCAGGTTCACCTGGATCGGGGCCAGCTGTTAGGAAGCCGGAGGTTGAGAATGTAAGCATCTTATCCTGGATGAGCTGCAGACTGAAGTTAGGTTAGGGGGGGCCTACAAGGGGATCTCTAGTGGCATAAGGGGACCTATTCAAGAATATACTAGAACTTTAGTCCGGGGGTCGTATGGGCTCAAGAAGGAGATTCTTAGCAAATACGGCGTTTATTCATGGTCCGCAGGCTCTGGATGTGCACTGTAGGCTTTGGAGGTTTAAATCGTTTATTTATGTTGTTTTTTTCGGGGCATGGGGTGGAAGGATTTCAGCTTTTCCAGACTGCAGCACAGTAGCTCACGTCTTGGTGTCCTTCAACCTCCAATCTGAACCTATCCATCTATCGAAATCAAGACACCAGAACTTGAACAGGCATGCCCCCAAAACCCTAAAGCCTCTACGCTCGGTTCCAAAAGCGGCTTAACTTTAAGGACACGTCCACTTCGGGCGACTAGGCACCTGAACTCCAACCCCCCATGAGGCACCTGAACTGTGCGATGTGGGCAGGCTTTGAGGCATGTGAAGCAGAGCACGCAGTTCTTGTTGTCCTCCAAGTGTAGCAGGAACTGCAGGGCAAGTACCAGTATCTGGGATGCTCTAGAGGGGATTTGGCTTCCATAGCTTCAGGCACTTCGGGGAATGGATGACAGTGGGGTGGCAGGCACTCTTGAGACCCTAAGCCCTCAAATCCAACTCTGAAGCAGCCCAGCAAGTCTGAAATTGCTGGTTGTCCTTGAGACTGGCAGGGTGGGAGTAGAGTGGGCAGCCACCTGTCTCCTCAGCATGCAGCATGCATAAAGAGAAAGGCCTCTCGCTTAACAGCTGCAGTATCGAGAAAAATACTTACTTTGAAGCGGATTGGCCGGTTGCACACTAAGCCCCAGACAAGCACAATAAGACTTTCCCCGAGATGCCTGCCTGTAAAACTGGCCCGACACGCAAAACCCAGGCATATACTTTCCTCAAGCCTACCCAACTCTGCATTTTAATGTCATCCCTGTTAGCATGACCTTCCCCATAAGCCCCTCTACGAACGCTGTATCCACCTCCCTTCATACTTGGATGACTGCTTCATGGCTCTCAAAAAAAATACAGAAGCCCCAACAAATGGAAACCTAATTTGGAGGCATCCCTCTACTATAGTTGTAAAAGGAATCTGGGACCATAACATTGGCAAAATATTCAGGCTTCCACCGTGCTCTCTTCAGGACTGGATAAGGCAGGAGGAGAAGTGAGCTGAGCGTCCTGTCCCTCACCCTCCTCAGGGCCTCCTTTGTAGCAGTGGAAGGTATTGCAAGATGCCTCCACATCAGCGTTTAGGGTTCTAAAGCAAGTGCAGATAGGGTATGAAAATGATGGTCCTGTTTTGGGTGCCCCAAACAGTAGAAGCAGCATTATACTGCGCACCTCAAATGGGGCCAATTATTTTGATCAACCCCCATCGATTTCTTCGAGGGGTTCATCTCGATATTGTGGACTTTAGGTTCCTCTTTCCTGGGATGCCTCCACTGGGTTTGCTGGGATCTCATATGGCATTTTGAGGAGCTTGGGACCGCAACGAGACTTGAGGGCGCAAGTGTGCCTCCAAACCTGAGCAAGCACATCTGCTTCTTTTAAATTTTTTGCCGGGAGCTGAAATATCTTTGGCCGGCCAGAACCCTGACTTGCAACCAGCTCCCGCGCCGAAATCAACATTGCAAGAACTGCGGAAACTAAGCCATTTAGTAATCCAAAAGCGGATACAACAACCGAAAACGAGCTTGTAGCACATTCCAGTTGCCTTACGTTCTATCAAATGAAGGAAAAAGTCGCTGCCCCATGTTCTATCTAGTTAAAAGACCCACATAAACAGCAAATCAACCCCAGTAGCCTACTACCCAACCACAACCCATCCTTGCCCCTACATTCGGCCTTGCACTGCCCCTGCTGTGAACGTACCTCTACAAGAGCTAACTTTGCCTCGGGGCAGCACGGTAATGTAGGGGCCTAATGGGAACTCATGTAAGGGTTGTATAAGGATTCTACATGAGTACATAAGTCTATCATTCCAATAATGGACATGCTGAAATAAGCCTGTGAATAATGGATATTTCCAGCATCGTCAAGGGGCTTGTAGAATGATAGGGGTATGTAGGGTTCATATTGGGTAGAATCCTAGATGGTTACTGGGGTCTAAGCGCTTTCGGGCAGAACTAGAATAGTGCAGAATGAAACGGAGCAGAACATGCAGCAAAAACATGGCAACTGATCTTATAACCGAAGCAATCAATGGAGAATCAAATGACAAAGAAAATGGAAAAGGATTTCAAAAGAACATTTAAGTGCGGCTGTGTCGCATAGAGACCGTTCATGCCACCTATGGGGCAGAGATGGCGACACCACACTCGCCGCTCAAAAAACCAGGACCCTACCATGGCGCCAAAGGTAATGAGCAGCAGCAGGCAGGAGGACAAATAGGCTGTGTTCCTTGGGCTTCATCTCAAGCAGTGGAACAACATCAGCAATCCTATTCTAAACCCTAAACCCTAAATCCTAAACTCCAAACCCTAAATTCTAACCCCTAAGCCCTAAATCCTAAGCCCTAAACTTCTGGAAAAAAACAAGTACTGCTTGCACTCCAGGCTCTCCAACACCCACAACTCCTGGGGAGGACATCACGGGCTCATGTGAGCCCTAGATGGTAGCTTCCCAAGATAGGGGGACCCCGATGTATCAAAATAAGGCGTATAATCCATATCAATTATGGGGACCCCGCCCCCAAAAGTAACCCCTAATTTTGCGAAACCTCCCAATGAAACACGTGAGAGCAAGGACACCCCAAGGTGGGTAGACCCCATAAACAGCTTGTAAAAGGCTTGTGTAAGGGTAGTGGGCTATATGAGGTCTATCGAGCTTGCTTCAAGGTTACCCACCGGACAAGTACCCACTTGACAAGAAGGAATCTTGAATCCCCCTTCCCTTAGGCCCTAGACTACTGCGAACAGCAAGCGCCACGCATACCAGAAGACGAAGAGATTCTGCTGCTGGCAAACGCTCAAAAATCAAAAGGGCTCCAGCCTTCAAAAAAAGCACGCAAACCCCGAATGTTCAGGGACAAACTAAGCAAATCCCACTGAGGGCCTCCCAAAGAAGGATGCCGAAGAAGAGGATGTAAAGGAACCAGGGTCCATAGGCCTCCAGCTTCTTCGTGGGCCACTTTTGTAGCACTGCCCCCTGGCCCACCCGCCAGCGCTGTACCACCTCCCCGTAGATCATGAAGGGGCAAATCGCCTGCACCGTACTGTGATTTTGTAGTCATACTTGTGCTTCACACTTAAGTTAAACTTGTCCATGGTCAAGCATATACGTCACCACGCCACAAGGCAACAATCCTACCATTGACACCGAACACCTCAGGCACACAAACTACGAACTTTAGCACCCACTTTTTGAAGGTTGGTTCCCTTCTCTATCCGCATATGGATTGCTAACAGCACACTGAAGTACCCTCCAAAATGAGAGGGAGTTAGGTGCTCACCAGTTGGTGGCTGTTCACAATATCTGTCCCCAAAATGGCCATGCTGTAGGTTCCCTGTTTGGTTAGTATCCCTTTCAAGGAAATGTATTCCCAATGGTCCCTCCTTTGCAGGGACCTGCAGAACAACCCCGGGCCCTAGTAAAGGGGTCAGGTTTGCAGGGTAGGCATATTGCGAAAGACTTGTGGTCAACAGCCGGAATTCCAAGAGACCATTGAATATGATGTGGTTGCAACTCAGGCACTTCTTTTCTCTACTTAATGGGACTTTATAGGGTTAGAGGAAAATGAAATGGGAACTACTATATTATAGGGTTATATAGGATTATGTTGGGGTTATACGGGGCTACATAGGGATAATGGAAAAGAAAATGGAAACTACTGTCTATACTATTTTCCAAAGTAAGGACCCGGACCTAGGAGGTATAAGCAGCCCTAAACCCTGAACCTCAAACCCCTGAAACCGAGTTACGCACCAAAAGCGGCCCACAATCGGATACGTGAGGAGGATGCCAGGCCACCACCAGGCCCAGAAGAGGTTGAGGCCAAAGTTCTCTGAAAAAGTTTGAGGACCTGCAGCAACAAGGACAGTACGGATGGATACTAACTCCCTTCATGACGCTAAGTGGCTTATACCTTGGGAGTTCTAGTTATACGGTAAGGTCATACATTTTGCCCAAAGCTTTCGGAACAAGCTGATGACCTGCAGCATCAAGCAGACTAGTTTCTGAATTTGATGGATGCCTTTTGCAGTCCGTCTAATCCTTTAGGGATTTGGGGTGTAAAGGGGAGATTCAGATTTCTGTCATTGCGACCACCTCCAGAAGCCCGGCCTATGAACAGAAGGATCACAAAAGCTGCGAAGGCATACCTGACACGCTGAGCAGGAACCAAGCACTGACAGCTGGAGAAACAATATGAAAAGGTGACTAAACCAAACTAACCAAACTAAACTGTATAAACTAAACTGGTATAATTTCGCACTGGCTCACGAGTAGCCAGACTGCAAGGTCAAAGCTTGCAGGTACCTTGAACCCAATACCTCTGTGCCAGATAGCATACAATCAATAATTCCTGCATGATTTTAATGAACATGGCTTCCTTATTTGGACCATATTAGGGACTATATGAAACTACAAGAAGGACCCATAATATGTCCACTGTTACGGGTTCCTTAATAAGCCTAATAGTGACAGCAGCTCAGATAGGACCTAAAAACCCAAAACCCTAATATTCCCTTATTCCCTGCTAGCTAGCAGTAAGTTGTTACTCTGTGCCCCTAAACCCTGAAACCCTTAACCCTTATATTCCCTTATTCCCTGCTAAGCCAGATAGGATACTTGGTGAAGCCGTGGTTGAGGCGCTCCAGCCAATCCGACTGTAAGAATCGGCGAAGCCCTGGATAGATGTCAAACAAGTTCACCTGGGATTAGGCTTTAGCGGTCAGGACCCTCCTAATACCCGTAATTAGGGACATAAGACTATTTGAGAATCAAACAGATAAGAAAATAGGAGAATGACATGGAAACTAGGATGATTTAGAGATTCAGGTCCCGAGACCCTCCAAATACCCTTCATTAGGGACATATGGTCCGTAATCGTGGGCACTTCGACCCTACTAGAGGCTATAGGTGGAGGTCCAGGTGCTTTGGGCTTACGAAGGTTCAGGGTTCAGGCGTTGAAGCCAAGAGGTCCTCCATGTTTTTGAACGGCTTAGGTTCAGGGTTTGGCGCGAAGGTTTTTTTTTTATTTCCTCAGCATCTACGGGAACCAGCTTGAAATTCCCTCCCCCCAGCTCCCTTTTCGATCTGTCCCTACACTACCTTTAGCTCTGTGTACCTATGTCGGGACCCCTGGCCGAACCTGTGCCTTTGGCTGTCTGTGGGCATTATGGCAAGCAAGGTTCCACAGAATAGGGGTTTGGGTATATATGGGTGGTTGTTAAAATTATGGTCCTTTTTTGGATCCCTATTATAATACGGCACCTAATATTTAGGGTACCCAAAAAGGAACCAGAATTTTGACAACCACCCATATGTCCCCGAATAAAGGTGCAAGGAGGATCCTGGAGCCCAGTCACTCTGAAGATGTCCAGCTTCTTAACGCTCTGGGCCGTCCACACAAGGTCCGCTGTGATGGTACCTCCTGGCTCCTGACCCAGGCTTTGCGCTTGACGTATGCAAATGGAATTGGGTACTGTTATCTAGTCTTCTGTAAGGTTATAAATAAGCAGGGTGCACAGGGATATGTTTTTTTTAGTGCTGGCACATGTTCAGATGCCTTAAAGCTTATAGCCGAGAATAAGCTTTTTGGGACCGTTGATGGACAAATTGTGAGAACGGGAAAGTGCGGTTCAATGTCCCCGAGTTTGGGGATAGGGTGAAGATCCAGATGCAGCGTCTGCTTAAAACTGAACTTGCATTGTTTTGCTTCCAGGTGCTAGGATGCAACATCTGTAGGCCTTCCTGGAGCATGAAACTAAACAAATAGCCCAAAGCTGCCCAAGGCTCCATGTTGCGGTAGGCGTTGTCAACCCTTAGATGGCTTTTGAATTGAGGAGCGGCTATGGGTTGAAGAATGGGGGGTCGTGTAGGGTTTAGAGTGCTACGGCTTTGAGATTGGCTAGCGCTCATGGCTTCAGATGCACTGGTGGTATGCTTGGGGCGTTGCAGGCTTTAGTGTCTACAGCTTTGGGATTAGGCAGTGTTTCGAACATGGGTTGAAGTATTTGGGTAGGTAAGGCCAAGCATCCCGGTGCCACTATTTCAACAGGCGCGCATCGCACTGTATTGGAACAATGGAAAATCTAATGGAAACTTAACTACTATCATATTGAGGTTATATAGGGTTATATCAGGATTATATTATATGGGGCTTAAGTGTTAAGGCGCAGGTCATGCAATGTACACCAGTGTATTGCTGGGCCTCATCTAGCAGCTACTATAGGCACCTCATCTAGCAGCTACTATAGGCATCCACTGTTCTATGCCAATGTGCCATCTTGTTTGTTCCTAACGGGAATAAAACATGTCTAGTCTATGGTCCAAAGCCAGAATTTGCGTTGCTTCTAAATCAAAGTATCAAACACATGTACAGGCGCCCAAAGCAAGGAAGACGCTTCAGGATGGACCCCCCCTCAAAGGGGAGAGTGCAGGAAAACCACAAGTTCTTCTCTGAGGATCTACCTGTGACTAAGACCTCAAATTATCCGAAACCCATACCTCATGGGCTTTAGTCTAAACTCCTGGTATCCCCCTTAATGACCCCAATATAACCCCAGTCAGGGAGTTTAGACTATACCTCATGAAAACAGCTGTGCCCAGAATCAGGAAGAACAGCTCCCGGACATTGTTGGGGAAGTCGTAGGCCTGCAGCCTCTTCCTTGGGCATGGTGTGGGCTTTGGGGGTTTGGGTCTTAGGATTTTTGGAGTTCAGGTGTTCTGCGGGGTTGGGGTTTGGAATAAAGAAGGCATTTGTATTTCATTAGAAGAAGGTTTCTGGATTTTGAACAAATCAACAAACTGCCTTGTGCCTGACACTTGTGGCACACACAAGCACCAAGACTTACCTTGTTGGGCAGAGATTCCTGCAACCACAAGTCTTCCTTCTGAGCGTGTATTGCTAAAAAATGAGCAAAGTAACCAAGCCCATCTTGCTTCAAACCAAAAACCAGTACCCTTCAAACCGAAGGGCATGAATCGTATACATCGGTTCTGCCGTCTTTTTTATTTAGGTTACGGAATCTACTGGACTAAGCTATCAGCACTAGCATCGGACATGTACTAGACAAGAACACTGCATTAGCCACCCTCGACCCTCCACCTACCCTCCATTAGGGCCTGTGTACCCACTATTAAGCGCCGTGCATCCCCAATTCGGGGTACTAGGAGGGTCTTGGCACCTAAATCCCTATATCCCTATGTCATCCCAGTATCCATTTCATTTTCCATGTTCTTTTCCATTTGATTCTCCATTATTCCTACATAACCCCAATAAACCCTAAACCCTGAACCCTAACTAGGAAGGTCCTGGACAGAAGCCAAGCTTCAGCGCTTCGGGCTCAATTTCTGGCACTGGCTTTCCGGTTCTTCGTGTGATGCGCCGGAGCTCATACCTGGGGAGTTCCAGAGAGAGAGAGGTCCATTCCTGGGGACCTTGACATGAATCATTATTACTATTACTGCTATTATTACTACTATGATTATTATCACCCGAATAATCAAATTTTCGAATTCTGGGGTACACAATTGACTCTAACGCCTTGGGAATATGGTTCTAAGAATTTTAAGAATTCAGAATGCTCAAGATCTAAGAGTTCTAAGAATTAAGGATTTCTGGCAAATCCCGCCTGACCATGCTTTCGATATCCTGGCGCCTCACTCGTAGGGACGGCACTTTGATCTGTGCAGCATTGTCTGTCAGCATCGACTGTAGCCATGCGATCCTCTCCTCTGCAAGGCCCCAAACACTCTACAGTCTGAAGCCCCGAAACCTGAAAGCACAATCCCTAAAACTCCAAAATCCCAGGCCTTAGGCCTTAAACCTAATAGATCCACCATACAATAATGACCATAAGCGATGCTTATCTACTTTTCCCAAACCTAAACCTAATAGATCCTACAAGCCGACAAGGCCTAAAAAGCCCCCTCCTCTGCAATGAGGATCACTTTGAGCTTGCTTTTGCTCTCCTCCCCGCCTTAGTCTGGGTTACCCTTTGAAGGAGCTTTTTCAATGACTATAATAAGGAAACCTATTGTTTATTTACTATATACCCATGTCACGGCAACATAAATTAAGTCCCTGAACAGCAGTAGTCCCAGGGTCCAGGGTTTAGGTTTGAGGGCCCGGAGGATTGAGGAGATATGGTGAGACCATGGGGTCCCAAAACTATCCCCACAAAAGGTTCCTTAAGCTTAGAAACGGCCCCGAACCCCAAATCCCCTACAGCTACTGGCAAACCTTGAGGTGAATAGCTTAGGAGGACCCCCCACCCTGTAATAGTGGTATACAGTGGTATACTAGGAGAATAAGACGACCCTTATATAATCCTTAGTATCCCCTACACTCACTATTACTGGGTGGGGGGTCCACCTGAGAGATATCTAGGAAAACCATGATGTAAGGCTGACTCTTCACGGTTCAGGTGTTCTTTGGGTGTAGTGCTTGTGTAGGTCATGCCCCTGTCTTGCATCTGATCATCATGACAATATGAATCATTTATGAATAAGATGTATATATATATATATGGGAATAACTGTTCTTTCCTACGAGCTAGCACCCATTGATGTGTAGTGGGCGGCATGCCTCTCCTCGTCTCTCTCGTCGAGATTAGGCATTGCAAAACAAATTCCATTCAAAACAATAATCCAAGCGGCGCGCCTTGGACCAGTACGTACCATTCACAGCCAGTTTGAAGAGGAGTGGACCCAACGCCTTGTTCAACTTTTCCACGTTGTTGAAGATCACGGTCCCTTCTGTTGCCATGTCCAGCAGGCCCGGGTAACCACGGCGTCCAAAGATGCGTGCGCCCTTGACCTCACACTCTACACACATCCGAAATTAGCAGGGAAGAGACAGATAAACGCTTCACATTGCTAGGTTGTGTGTGTACGGCTGAGCGAAAAAAACATGCACCAGCTAGGAACTCCTACTCCTGCTTCCACAATTTACTCAGAGCAGTTGTACAAGAACTCTTTCAACTATTGCCAAGCAAAGACCAGCAACAGACACGCCACTGCAATCCACAAAGTACAGGCTGCCCTTGCGTCGAGCATAATGTATCAGGAAAGCCACCATATCCTTCCGCGTGCCTTTCCTTATGTCCACATGAGTGGCTGTCAAAATGTTGGTCCCTTTTTGGGTACCCTAAAAATTTGGCGCTGTATTATACTAGGGATCCAAAAAGGGACCATACTTTTGACAACCACCCACATCAATTCCCATCCTGCATGTGAAGGACTACCCTGTAAATCTCTGGGGCCTCAACTGCGAGTATACAAAGAGCTAGAGCTGAAGGAGCCAGAAATGCAGCCAAACTTGGCTAGAAATGAATGTACTGCTTACAACTGTACCACCCCAATCGTAGTGCCCCCAAGAGAAGAAGCGTTTAATCATGAAGGAGTAAGCCTCTCCCCAAAGACCAGAACGGCTTTGCTGTTCTTTGAGCACTGCTTGATCTGTTTCCGCAAAGTTCGAGAGTAGGCACTTCCACCCAGGACCCCTCGCAAAGGAAGGAGCTGAGATGTACCTTGCAGGGATTCGCAAGCAATTTCTCACTTGTTGACCAGAGTTGGGTAAAACGAAGGCAGGTGCAAGTTTGCTCGCTGCTCAGCGGCCAGCGGGCCACTATTTATCCCACACCAGAAGACCTCACGCTGGCTGCAAAATGTCAAGCTGTGTCCTGTTGCCGGTAGCTTAGGCTGACTGAGCCACTGGTAGGGCGGTAGTACGGCGACGGTATCATGGCTTAATACAATGCCTCAGTCAAATGAAAAGTCCCATAGTGGCGATCTGTGGCGATGCCCTCGATACCCGTCGGAATAACACCCAGCAATGCCAGCCCGCAACCCTCAGCCCTCAACCCGTAAACCCTGAAACCCCAAATCCTATCTAACCCCACTATAGTAGTTTCCATTTGATTTTCCATTATCCCAATAGAACCCCTATATAAACCCCAACATGACCCCTATATATCCCTTTAAAGGGACCTAGGGTTTCCATTCTATTTCCCTTATCCCAATATAAAACCCCTATAACCTGTGCCCAAGCACCCTAAACCCTAAACCCTAAACCCAACACCCTAAACCCTAAACGCCTAGCATGTACTCGGAAAGGAGGCGTCCAGAAAGCTCATTGGCTGGTGGCAGGCAGGTGATGTCAACTTTGTCCACCTCCCAAACTAACATGGAAATTTCTACTACTACTACTACTACTACTACTACTAGCCGCCCCACCCCCCCCTACCAACTATGTTTGCTTAAATTGCCAATATAAATATGGGGGAGGCGGCGTTAGAAAACAGTAAGCAACATGACAACGAAGTGCTTTCCACGCAGGGT